GCACAGCCCTACCGCCTATCCAACACAGTGATACAAGCCTTGAAAATTTAGACAAAATGCACTTTTTAAAGTTTTCTCCAGTAAATTATGAGAAAACCGATCAATCATCCAGGCTACCAGTGATTTTTTCTGCTCATCAGAGACATTAAACTGGTGCATTTTATTCAAACTATGATAGATCACAAAATGCTGATGCTCAGAACTGCTTATAAATAAAAAATGTGCGGAAAAAACGCATTTGGCTTCAGATTGTGAATTCTGTTGTGTGTGTAAAACGGATCATAAATTGAAAATGCCATGTGGACTTATCTCCTATACTTACGACATATCCTGGAGAGAAAAAAAAAGATTACATTTCTGTAACTCTAAAAACTTACACTTAGCGTGAGCACAGAATTTTGCTTGGTTTCATTAAATATCCTAAAGTTACTGTAGAAAAGCAATCAGCTGATTCTGAGGGGGTCAGATGGGAGCTTTTCTCAGATTTAATCAGTCTTATGTGGAGTGACCTGAAAATGACACACGTCTGGGACAGCTTATCTCTCAGATCAGTGTTGATGCTGTTATAATGCTGATATTTTTGCAGAGGCGAGGTGTATGTGCTCAGACAGTAGAGCAGGTCCACTGATTGGAAGGCTGTCAGGGCACTGTCATTGCAGCCTAAACTGAACTTAAGTTTTGCATATTAATAAGCTCAACACTGGTGTTAACGCAAGGGGCAGCAGACCTGTTTATCCACTGTTCTCTTCTGAGCTCATCTTTGTAGCTGTTTTTAGGTGATGCCAGCCCCGATGGCTCATCAGACAATCTACTCCCTTTGATTTTAAAAGTAAAACAAGCCTGGCTTTCTGCTTTCCATTGTTAAAAGTACTGCTAATACCCAATATAGACCTGGAAGGGTGGATAGAGGTGGTGGCATTATATGTCAATATATGTCAAATCCATTGCTAGTGACTCTGTAACTCTGACAGTCCATAAAGGTAAAGGCTATCAACGTGGGTGTCACATATTAATGTGGTTGGCTGTTACAGACCCCACTCGCCTCAGATGTTTTTCTGCAGAAAGAGTCCTCAGCTTTCAGGGTATGCTGAATTTAGCAAACACAGGGCCTAGAAACTCAGAATTAGATCCAGAGTTAGTTTAGCTGTTCAAATTGTTGTCTTTATATTTAAGAATTTGGCAAAAGTATAAAAAACTAAGATACCACTGAAAGGAAACTAAATTAGACTATAACACTCAAATCTGCAGTTTGATTGCTATGGATGTTTCGATAGGTCGATAACTAGCTCTAAAGTTTGAGATAATAAACTAAAATTTTGACTTATGGTTAAGAAAATGTGTTTTCTTTATTGGCCTCCATAAATTTTTTCCCACTGCCCACGTATGTGATCAGAATCAGCAGCACAAAAACGCGCCAGCTGATTGTTTTTCTCAGTCACTTTAACTTTTACATGTATTTTTACCCCTGAATCTGTTTTGCTGAACTCTTTGGCAGCTCGCCGTCATTCAGAGCTGACTTGACCCTGCGTGTCCTCGAAGCTTTTCGGCTGATCCTGATGTTTTGTTGTCGAAATCTGTCGATAGCTTGGTGCAGAGTCTCGTGCAGGAGCTTCCAGCAGCGAGTCAATACTGAAACATTAGCTGTTGAGACTTTACACCGGGCCTGGAGGCTGAGTCAACGTGTCACAGCTCTGCCTCGGTGTACGATAACACACACACCATCACAAAGCACGCACGAGCCGGGTGGTCTCCAATAATGTCCGCTAATCCTGCTTAGAGACAGGAATCTGACAGGGAGGAAATCCGTCGACCTGAGTGCTGAAGGGGGCTATCGGGCTCACGCAGATCTGTCCACGATGGTGAAAGCTAATACAGGAATCAGAGTGTGAAACCAGCACACCGGTGATCAGTCCACTCTGTTTTGATCACGTAGTAAAGATCCAAAAGAGATCTGCTGCTCTGTGATTGAAAGCAGATTCTTATTCTTATTTTTTTATGTCTGAAAAATCTAAGTGTGGTGTACCGTCCACCATGAGTGTTTACACACTGCTGTGATCTCAGCTTCTTAACCCCCTCTTTCAAGCTGTTTTTATTGGCTGTGCACACATGGCTGATATGGGGCTTATGGGAAATGGAGTATTTCTAATGGTGCTGAGGTATTTAGCACAAATATTAAAAAGTGCACAGAAGCAAAGCTTGAAGTTGTGGGTGGCTGATGTGTGTGTGTGTGTGTGTGGGCCTAATAATAAGCTGTAAGTATAAACATCCAAAATTGCACCGTGATCCAGCACACATATCAGGTACACACACAGGTAACCATTAAAAAGTATCCCACTCTTGCACGTCTTTTAAGACACAGCAGGCTAGAATCTGTGCAAATATACAGAATATTTTACCTCATAAGCCAAATTTTGCTCAGGACACAGCAGTCAAATGCCCTTTTGGAGCAAAGTTAGCGTGAAATTACTGCCTAATGATAATGTTAACTTGCTGCACGGCAGCTCATAATAAGCCCGAATGTTGCCTTCATCTGGGTGCACAGATATAATACTCCAAATTGGCGCCCCCGTGGTTTAGGCGTTAAATTTCCTAATGAGGGGCTGCGAGGACATTAATCAGGGTCAGATGTATGCATGAGTCTCTTCTGCGTCATGGTGAACCCAGTTTCCAACTCAAGTTAAATTTTTGTTTCTAACATAGTTTTTGAAAAATATTCTGACCACATTAAACACGGGGATCTCTGCCACGGTCATAAATTTGCCTTTTCATTGTTCACTGAAGCAAATAATGAACGTTGTCTCTTTACCCCAGATAATTACAAAGTGACGTTGAGGGAAAACTCCAACTCTGCGAGCTGTTCATCAGCATGATGGACTGTGTTAGTGATGGATAATGAGCTTCAGAAAACAATGGGCGCCTTTGGTTTTGGAAAGGTCAGACAAACCTGCAGCACAACAGACGGCAGTAAATTCTGGACGGCGTGAAATTACTCCTATAAAGGACTCGACTTCGTGATGGTTTTAACTTGTTTACCAGGCGATCAGTTTAATTTCTGTTGACCTCTAAGACTTAACCCATCTGGATAAGCTGATTACATTTTCCAGACATTTCCTTCCTTGTTGGGAAAACTGTATGGGAGGAGGAGACGGTGCAAACTGCCGGTGCCTGGTGGGGCGTCAGGTCACTTTATATCAATCATAAGGCCGCCAGGACTTCATTACCTTCTCCGGGGTCTTATACCCCAGAGGAGACACCACTTTCCTTGACTAAGCAGACATTCAATGATAAGCTACCTGCCCTCCCCTCCTCGCCTCCCCTTCAGACACACTGGCATGCTCACACACACACTTCCACCAGTCAGCTGAGGTTGGTGCTTCATTAATCTGTGCGCAAAAGTGCTACGTACAGCGGAATTCCCCCTCCCCGTTTTTAACTCAGAGGAAGTTTGGAGTTTGTCCTTCTGTTTGGAGGTTACAGGGAGGCTATTTTGGGAATGGATTTCACTGATTAAAGGCAAACTTGTGTTTTGGAAGACAGAGTCCGCAGACTAAACACGCTGAAAGGCAGAACAGTTTTGCACTGCAGCGGCACAATGCAGAGCATGCTGTTTGATTTAACTCACATTCTTTGGTCTAAAAATAAACGCTGCAAGAGCCGGATGTGTCTAAAGCAAGAGTGAACTAACACATTTACCCTCCTGCAGATGAAACCAGTCCATCCAACGTGTGGGACTGTAAGAACAGAGGGGTGAATGGCACCCAGAAGGGTCAGATCGTGTGGAGGCTCGAGCCCGGGCCCTACTTTATGGAGCGTAAGTTGGTTATTGAAAAGTATCTCTGCACTTCTCGCAGTTCTTGCTATAAAATATTTAAAATGATCTAAATGGTCGACAGTGATGATTTAGACCTCACTGAGTGTAAAAATTACCTCCAAATCAGAGGAGAACATTTAGAATGAACCTCCAGGTGCAGCTGAGCTTTAAAGATTTTTCTATGTGATGTTTTTAAAGGGCTGTAACTCTTTTCTGCTTCCTCTGCAGCTGAGACAAAGATCTGTTTCAAGTACTACCACGGAGTGAGCGGAGCCCTGAGAGCCACGACCCCGTGCATCACTGTGAAGAACCCAGCAGTCCTGGTGTGTGAGGGAGGGATCGCACTGATCAATCACTCTGAGATTTATACATGTGAAGTCTGGAATATGATGGGAATAGCTGGTTATGATTATCGTGATTGTAATAGCTCCAACGATAAAACAACAAAACAAACCAGACTTAAATCTCATTAATGTCCCCTTCAAGTTCATATCCTTTAACACCTCTGGACTGCATCCAGCTGTTTCTGTTATTTGTGGATGCTTTCCTGGGATTCCCGTTCTTGGTAGTTGTACTTGTGTGTGCTGAATTTCGTCCTCTGTATTAAACGTGAACTCTTGAATTTCTGACAAAGCTGCGGCGCAAAGTTGAGATCTTTACAGGAAGATTTTGCAGCAGGACTCCTCTCTAACAGCTCTGAATGGTGTTCCCACGGCCTTCCTGACCGGATGTACCATGTTTCCGCTTGGACATTGTGGATTCCCAAGCTCAAACTACCATTTGATCGCTGAGTCGGAGACATGAAAGTTGAGTCAGTGGGAAATTGTCTGTGAGAGTTTTTTGACAGCAGTAATGGAAACCTACCCTTCTTTACCAGGCGTGGTTCTTTGTCACTTCCTGTTTCTAAAATAAAATCTGAGATGAAGACTCATGGTTGTGACACACCAGGAGAGAATCCCAGATGCTCAGGTGGAAGTGGTCAGAATGGACTTCCAGGATATGATCTAAAGCAAGCAGCAAGCCTGGAAGTGCTTCTTTGAAAGGAAGATCAGCTTTAACTCAGGAGTCGTGGACCTTCTCCAGTTTCTGAAAATAGCAGATGTGGGTGGTTTTTGGATATTTCAGTATGCAGGACTGATTTTGAAGCCATTTATTTCACGTTTCTGCACATTGAGCTATCAAACAATGAACTGCCTTCATTGGCTCACAGTCTGCCTTAAGAAATCCCGTTATTTATCACTCTCAATAATGGAGCCTCACGGTGGTTTATATGGCATGTTTCATACTTTTCAGTTAATTGATGACTCAATATTGAGTCGTCTGTGACCATAATCAATCCCACATAAATGCTGAGATTTGGCTCCTCGCTGATGCACTGCTGTCTGCGTTCAGTTCTAATTTATTCCCTCAACCTTCAAAGTCGTGTCCACAGTTATGATTTAAATTCCTGTGAATTCAGTAGGACAAACGTGTGTGTGTGTGTGGTCCTTGGAAAATATGTGCTCCATGTGTTTTATAGCATCTAAAGTGTGACGTTGTCTCTTCTATCTCAGGTGGAAGGGCTGGCTGAGCAGGTTGGAGTCGAACATCCTCGTAAACTGATCAGCTTCACTTTGACGGGTGAGTTTAGCAGTTTTGCTAAATGCCTCTTTGCAAATCTTTCCAAATCTGGAAGAGCCACACCATAAATCCCAGAACAGATGCTTGGATTTTAACCGAGTGATCCATCTTATCTTCATCTGTGTCTTACAGTCCCTTTGGGAAACACTAGAGTAAACTCGAGTAAACACAGAGGCCTTGGTATTGAAGGGTTTTTTTCCCCACCAGAGAGACTCTGAAGTTTTTATCAGTTTCCCAGTGATGATATCAGGTTCAGTTTAATTGGTTTAAAAGAATGGGAAGTCCACCTCACTTACCCAAACCACTCGCCTTTGTTAGCCATGATGCATCTGCAGGTCAAGCCGTGCACAAGCAAAGGAGCGAGAACTTCAATCCTTTGCTTTGATATTTGTCTCTCTCGTCATCTGTTTTGTTGCAGACCTGCGTGCTACTGGCCTGAAGAAGGGGATGTTTTTTAATCCTGATCCGTACCTGAAGATGTCAATCCACCCAGGGAAGAGGAGCGTGTTCCCCGTCTTCAGCCATCACGGGCAGGAACGCCGATCAGCTATCATCGCTAACACCACCAACCCCGTCTGGCATGGAGAGGTGACGTCGTTGAAACTTTTTCAAGCTTTTTTTGAATGTTACTTTGCACTACTGTTAATTAAATGCATTTATATTAAAACAGGGGACTATATCGTGCCACAGGTTTTGATAGACTGGCATCCAGGATTGGTATTTAATACAGACAGATGTTGGTCTGTTTTTGGCTTTTGGCTAACCTAAAGATAAAGCGCCTTGAGTTTTCTGTTTGCACCCCATAATCTCCAGTAAGACTGTCTTTTTGAAATACTTCTACCATCAAACTCATGATGTGTTTCCCTCTTTCTTTTTTTGCACATCGATGCTTTTGCCTCTCTGCAGAAATACACATTTGTGGCCCTGATGACGGACATCCTCTACATTGAAGTGAAGGACAAGTTTGCCAAGAGCCGACCGATCATCAAGCGCTTCCTTGGCCAGCTTACGATCCCTGTGCAGCGGCTCATTGAAAAAATACCTGGGTAGGTGGAAAATGTGAAGACACAGGCGAGTAGGAGCTCACTCATAGAGTCACGCACACATAAACAGACCTTCATGTGTACTTTATCTGTGTGTGCAGTGTAAAAGACACACAGGTCTCCCTTTTTTTGCTTCTTTAACTGTGCAGAGTCCAGCCCGTCAGTTTCTCTCTGTGTCGACGCTTGCCCACTGAGCACGTTAGTGGACAGCTGCAGTTCAAAGTTGAGCTCACCTCGACAGGACCGGATGGTAAGTTTGCCTCTCAGCTGTGGTTAAATATTCATGACTTCACATTTTCTTGGAATTTGTTTTCACTAACATGTTCTCCTGGCTGTAGGTGCCTCCCCTGACTCCATCATCGGTGTTTCATCCTTGAATGGAACTCCAGGGACTCCTTCTGATGATGAAGACCTGCCTCATCACCTTCCAAGCTTGGTCTCAGCAGGCCCCTCTCCTACGGGCTCCCAGGGCTCCCAGGGCACGGGGGAAGGCGCTACCGCAGCCTGTCTGGAAAAGGAGCTGCCTTTCATCGGAGCAGAGGGCAGATTTATGGATACTGAAAGCGTTGCAGGTCATGAAATGCTCCAGGGGTCATTCAGTGAGAGTCTGGATGCTATTGAGGCCCCTAAAGGACCTGGTGAACGACCTCTGGGTGCCGCCTCACCTAAACTGCGCTCTAGTTTCCCGACACACACAAGGTTGAGCGCCATGCTGCATATCGATTCAGACGAAGATGAAGAAAGATCCGGAGCCAATGACATCACTCCGGTACCCCTGTCGCCGCTGCTAATGAACGGAGAGCCTCCTGATGCCCGTGGTACTGATGAAGACGACACTGAGGGGCAGCAGGAGCCTGAGCGACCGGTGGGGTCTGTGTTGGAGGCGGGGCCAGTGGGTGCAGGTGCTAAGGCAGAAGACACGGCCCCCGAGGCCCAGGCGGCCGCAGAGGCCGTTGCTGGCATGGACTTAGAGGATGTTTTGGAGCAGGATGTTTTCCTTGAAGTGGAAGAGGTTCCATTCACAGAGGCTGCGTCCCATGATGCTTTGCCAGAAGGTGGAGACGCTCCTGAGCAAGGAAGGATGGCTGGCGAGGAGCCCTTATCAGAGATCGATAGCTGCTCAATGGCAACAGCCCCTCAGACGGTCTTCTCATCTTCAGACAGCTGTCCAGTCACATTGACCACCGCTGTGGTGCGTTCACGGGAGCAAAATTTACTGCTTTGTTTGCACCATTCCTGCAAAAACATTAAAACACAAAAAGTTATTCATTCCAACCACCAGAAGTATTTGTTGAATTTAGATGCACTTCACACACAAACACAGTGTCACTGCCTAAATCTGCCATCAGGGAGCAAAAGAAGTTCACTTGCTAGCTAAAAGTATATGAGAAACTTACTCAGCTTTTCACACTGCTGATGACTTTATGATCTAAATTGCAATTGGAAGTGTAGACTTTTTTGCCATGTCCTGTTATATTTGTGGTCATTGAGTGTCCATATCCAGATGAAACCCCAGTAAGCTTGGTTTGCGTCCTGCTTCCATATACTGGATGGATATGGCACACTGATGGACATATCTGCTAGTGCATCTAAGAAGACTACTGCTCGAATTTACTTACTAAAAGCACAGTCCTCTTGTAATTAAACTCTAAATTTAGATTCTAGTTAAATGTGTTTATTTCTGCTGTAAAATTTGACATTTTAACACAGCAGTCTATAAGGACTGAGTCACATTTGGAGCCAGCCTCCAGTGGCCATTCAAGGAACTGCAGTTTTTAACACTCCCACACTTTTAGAGTAGACAGCTGGTAAGTGTGGAAAGTCTGCTGCACATTTAATAAATTACTAAGTAAAGTTCACTGAGTGTCTGAAAAATTAAGCAAGGAAGTGCCTTTGTCCCCCAGCAGGGGGCGACACCTCTGCTTTAAAAAGAAGCGTATGGGAAGATGATCCTTTGGCTGGCTTGCACTATAACCACAGCAAACACTTTCTTAAAGAGTTCACGGTCCCAGTCTCTAGCTTCACATCTTACTGAATACAACATGATATTTATTTTGTAAATTCAGTCTCATTCAGAATAAAAAAACGAAGATAAGCAGCACGTGCTGGCCCCATCTTTGACGTGCAGTGTTCTCGGCTTCTCGGTCAGAGCCACACCTCGATCATTGAGGCTTAGCCAAAGCACATCAGAATATGAACATATATGTCAGATATGAAAATATGCCACTGTGGTTAAATCCTCTGAAGAAGAGTTTCTCCATTTGTTTCATTTTTAATGTGCAGCCCAACTGCCGTTAGTTTTCTCGCAGTGCTCAAACAGAACAGCAGGATCTTGTGGTTCTGGTTCTTTTATTAAAGGACACAGAGATCTAATGCACCCCTGCCACCCTGCTTTCACTGTCGTGTGGTGGGCTAATGCTGTACACAGGCTCATGGAGGTCTTTTTGTCTGTCTTGTTTTGTCCCTTATAGAGATGTTCTGGGAGCAGACTGTGAGTGGGAACCAGTGATCTGTTTCCATTTTCCACTGAATTTTTTATCACAAATCTTCCATGATTGTTTCTTTTTGAGATGCAACACCTACGCACTAACACGTATTTGCATGGAGTCAAACTTTTGTTGCCCTGGTTACGGAGCCAGCTCTGCCTCATGCCGTGAGCTATGGACGCCTTTCATATCTGTATATATGTGACTGAATGATTTTGTGATTATTTTGCCATCTCTTTAAACGCTTATATTTTCTAGGAAGCAGAGGAGGGAGCAGAGACCGCCATAGATCCAGGGGGAGACATAGACTCTGCCGCCCCGCCGACCAATCAGGCTGTAGATGGTGAAGGGGGCGGGCAAGGTGCCGCTGCTGAAGCTGAAGCATCGCCGCCGCCACCAACTAGCGAGCAACAGGAGGTGGAGGAGATCAGCGTGAGGAGGCTGAGTCTGCAGGCTGCAGGGGGCGTGGCTGAACAACAGGAAGGCGAGGCAAAGCCATCTGAGGAGGCGGGGTCTGCAGATTCAGAACAAGTTACCACAGAAACAGAAGGAGAGGAAGGTAGTCCCGTTTACACAAATCTCCAAAAGTCGGTCACCACAGTTTCTGTTGGACATTACAACCCATGACATTTTCATCCCGAGTTAAAACAAAGTTCCCTGTGTGTGCTGTGTGTTTCCTGTGCTCAGGTGCTCACGTTAATGGACATCCTGTGCGTTCACTTCCTTCTGTGCGTCACGACATCCACCGATACCAACGTGTGGACGAGCCTCTGCCTCCCAGTGAGTGTGTGTGTGTCTGCATGCCCTGTACTGTTCAGTGTGCGGCAGTGTGTGTTTCTATTCACGCGACCACATCTGTTGTTCACATGCGTTGCGCTGAGTCAGCCTGACAAACACTTTGAAACCCCAAATCAGCCACAGAATGACATCATGGATTCCCGACGTAAACACACATTTATCCATTTTCCTCATTTCAGATTAAAAATGACATTCCTGAAGTGTGTTACTGTCAACAGTTACATGTCTTCAAACCATTAAACACCTGCTTTAAATCCCTTTTTAACTGCCTCTCAGACTGGGAGGCCCGGATCGACAGCCATGGGAGGATTTTCTTTGTGGACCACGTCAACAGGACCACCACGTGGCAGCGGCCCACCGGACCTCCTGCCCCACAGGGCCTGACCCGCTCCAACTCCATTCAGCAGATGGAGCAGCTGAACCGCAGGTGGGCTTTGAGGGGAGAAATCATGAACTTTCTCCGACGACTGGGAGCTTTTGGAAGACCGGGATCTAGATAACGTTAAAGAAATCAGTTTACCCCCCAAGTTTAAGAAATTAACGTCTAATGCAGATAACACAAAAAGTCAATGGCACACAGATGCAAAAGTGGGCGGGTCCTGAGTTAACCTCTTCTTAAATTGCGGTGAGTGATAGAAGTAATGATGAGTAAGAGTACAGGATGCCACTGATTGACATGTGACACTGTCAACTACTGAACCGAGGCCTGAAAGCTCCTTGAACACCTTTGTAGATGTTTAATGGGTGACCAAGCTTCAGATTTCTGTCTCTAGAAACTCCCACAGACGTTTTTAATCACTTGTTGTTGATCTAAAATAAAAGACTTCCAGATGTTTTCAGAAACGTATTTTCTTAATGGGAGAAATATTTTCCAGATGGTCCACTGTTTTGGTCTTTTTAGCTTTGAGGTAACAGATAACAGGTAACCTGAAGCATCCGGAAGTGTCCAGTGGTGTGAAGTGGTGCAAATCCTTGATTAAGCCAAGGGTTCCTATCATTAAATAGAAAGTGGGTTCTAAATAGAACAGTGTTCTCCGAGACCGATCTGTGTATGTTGGTGAGACCTGCAGATATCTCTTTGTTTTTGTTTTTTATAATCTGCCTGTTTTTGAGCTAATTTACCTGTGAACAGGTAGTTCTCACACTTTCAGAAGACGACAGCTTATGAATGCTTCATCGTCTTTGCTTCCTTTGGGGAGCAACTGAAAAGCTAAAGTCACTGTTTGATGACAGATATCAGAGCATCAGGAGGACCATCACCAACAGCGATCGGTCAGAGGAAAGCTCCGTCGACCTGGTTCCTGAACCTGAAAGCGAACTGATGCCACACTCCATTTCTGGTTAGTTCATCTCACAGACAAATGCAGTAATGAAAGGTTTCATTGACGAGAGCTCGGTGCTCATTTTACGAGGAGACATTTGTGCAATTAAATGACTCACCTCTGGAAGATGATTCATCCTCAGAACTGCTACTGGTAGCCATGATACTGTTATTTGTTATGAAGAGATGTGAGAAGAGCAGCTTTCTTTGTCATATCACTCATGCAGAATTGTAGACGTGTTTTCCTGACATAAGCTGCTGTGGTCGGTTTAGTTGGTGTCTCAGGCTTTGACTGGATGTCGTTTCTGTTTCAGAATACAGACGAGAAAGCGGCGTCGCGCACTCCAGCGGCCGCTCGCGTCTCTCCCTGCTGCTCCAGTCGCCCAGCGCCAAGTTCCTGTGCAGCCCCGACTTCTTCACCGTGCTGCATTCAAACCCTGTCAGTCCAACACACCAGTAGAGCAGATCTAACAAACGCAAGGTCACCAAAAACCATTTAGGCTCATGTTTCTGCTTAGCTGCCCAAGTTTCAGAAACTAGTAGTTGACAGATTACATCGTCACCTGTTACTTGTTACGGATCGTTTTCTTTTCTTCTGCATATGTATGCCAGCATCAGTGACAAGTGATTAACAACACGTTACAACGAGGTCATCAGAGTCAGGCTGTTTTTCATCTTTTCTTTCTTCCATGCTTCAAACTAAATCTGAGCAAACATCTGGAGTGCAGATGTGGAAGATTTCAAATATTTTCATTGTCATGTTGGGAATTACGCACACTCTGTTCTCATTCAGTTAGTCATACTTCCCTGCACAACATCACAATAAACTGATTAGAAAGAATAAAATATAAGTGTAGTATTTTAAGAAATGGGCCAGGATCTATAAAGAACTACAAATATCACATCAGCACATTGACATATTTGGCTGAGGTCATAAGGGACCTCTGTCAGGGTAGTCACTAATATTAGGGATATTGAGACTCTTATAGTCTGCCCCCTTTAGCTCCATGTGAGGTGTTGACTTTAGTTTAATCTGTTTCTTCTTCCTCTTATGCAACATAAAGATCTTTATAACTTCTGCTTTTTAACTGCTTGAGCTGTTAGAAAACTCCACATTCAACTCCATGTACACA